GAAGTTCAACCACTAGTTCGAACGAATTCGTGTGGTCCGACCGTGGGCTGCTCGCTTATCGAACACAACCTATCGGTTTTTGTTTTTTTTTAATTGAGTCGGCCGTTACTTGATGGAAATTCATGGCAAATGTAAAAACTTCACAAACGATAACCACAATATGGAACACACGACATGTTTTGCTAACACAGTAGCTTCGTCAGGTGATATACTGGTACAATGAACATATACTGGTACAATGAACATTGTTCATTGTACCAGTATATCACCTGACGAAGCTACTGTGTTAGCAAAAAATGTCGTGTGTTTGAGAATTTTGTGGAGATCTTATCGTTTGTGAAGTTTTCACAACCTGAGGGATTTATAAAATCAAAGAGAAACAACTCAAAATTTGTATAGTATCCTGTTTTTTTCAAGACAGGACTATTATCTCGTTATACAACAAGAACTGAGGGATGCCTGATATTCGTGATCTGTTTTCCTGAAGACCGTTACATCGTAAAACTCAGGAGGGAAATTACACGTACTAATTTGATCAAAATAAAAATTATTCAATGGTATACACTGCATGCTCTTCATCGCTGAAATTAGAGTCCTATCTTCACTACCATCTGCCGAATTGATACTAAATCGATTCTGACCGTTCAGACGCGTAGGACCCACAATTCTATATAATATTCTTCAAATTTTGAAACTTTATTCGCATTCTTGTGCCAATCGGTAGCACTGATATTTTCCGCATCTGTGATTACAAAAGATATAACTTAATGGTTGAAATTCGTAAATGTATTTTTTCTACGGATTCTTTCCTTCAATTGACTTCAAATTAATTCTTTATAGTATTAGAAATACAAAAATATGAGAGCAATCTGAGAACCGCATGATAATTTTGTTTGGCGATTTCATCTATGATATTGACATATTTACCTAGAGTCTAGTAAGACTATGGATATCGACTGAATCCGTCCCTGACAATCGAGCCGCCACCTCACCAATAAGTCCTCATAGTCTATTTCACTGTAGTAGGAGAGATATGCGCAACATTATGGTATGAAACCAAAATATTCACATTTTTTTTCGTGGATTCAAGAGATAAGTGGACGAACCGAAAAAATTCAACACAATACAATACATACATACATATACACATACACCTATACATACGTACAAACATAAAGGTGAAGCAAATGAAAAAGTATTAAAAATCATAGTTACTTCATTATTCCAAATTTTTTGGGATTTTCTCTCCTCGTTTCTATAAAATGAATATATGAATATTATTTCAATATACGTGTAGTAAGGACAAATCAGATGATTTGCCCCAAAATTTCACTGCGTTTAAAGTATTTCCCTATCAGAGAGCCTAAAAGAAAAATTCACTAGCTTGTCAGTGACAATTTGTATTGAAAAAATTTTGGAGAAGAGAAATAAAGGTATATAGAAAAAATATCAAATTTTCACTTATCTTTGGACGTTTCGGGACCGATTCTGCTCCCGTTTTCAACATGAAAAGAGATTATTTCAATAGCTAAGTCGTATAATATGTCTTGAAGCTTTTCAGTTTTCAATGACAATTGGTGACGTTGGCAATCAAATGAGTTACAGGATTTTTTCATTAATTAATCTTGAATTTACCACAACAAAATCAACCATCAATAACGACAAATATAATACCATACATTCACGGCATATCTGAATAAATAAAACGTGTTGGTGATAAATTTCGAGTGAAAACTGTGTTCAAAACTGAAAATACAATGAGATCAATTCTAACTCAAACAAAGCCGAAAAATGAAGAACAATCGTCAAAAAATTGTATTCACAGTATACCTCGTGTTTGTGGAAAGTTTTATACAGGTGAAACCAAGAGACCTCTCTCAGTAAGGACGAAGGAACATAAGTATACAATATAATGAAAAGAAACATCGATAAATCGAAACTAGCTGAACATATCCTTACTGAAGACGGGCAACATATGGCAGAGTGGAATAATATTGAAATCATTGGAAAAGAAGATAACAACCAGAAGAGAAAAATCAAGGAATCTGCTTGCATTCTTCTGAACGGAGACAATAGCATTGCTTCTTGTTCAGTTTATATGGACAGAACATGGTATTCACTACTAAAATCTGAACATGAAAATGGTAAATTCAAGATTAATTAATGAAAACATCCTGTAAATCATTTGATTGCCAACGTCACCAATTGTCATTGAAAACTGAAAAGCTTCAAGACATATTATACGACTTCGCTATTGAAATAATCTCTTTTCATGTTGAAAACGGGAGCAGAATCGGTCTCGAAACGTCCAAAGATAAGTGAAAATTTGATATTTTTTCTATACCTTTATTTCTCTTCTCCAAAATTACAAATTGTCACTGACAAGCTAATGAATTTTTCTTTGAGGCTCTCTGATAGGAAAATTCTTTAAACGCAGTGACATTTTGGGGCGAATCATCTGATTTGTCCTTACTACACGTATATTGAAATGATATTCATATTTTTATTTTATAGAAACGAGGAGAGAAAAACCCAAAAAAATTGGAATAATGAATCTACCACCTCCTAGATTAACCTACAGACAGTATACAGGGTGTCCGGGAACATGTGGGAAATCTCCCGGATATGAAAAAAACACGTGAAAAGAATACTATAAGTTCATATAAACTTCTTTTGTATCGGCCTCCTCTTCGGAGATATGGGCTCCCAAAGAGCTCCCATGGAATTAAGTTTTTGACACATAATTCTTGAACCAACAGGTATATTTCAATTTTTTTTTAATATGATGTATACTAGGTAAGACTCTTCAAATTACTATCCAAGAAAGTGTTGCGAATTACTCACAGCTCCAGGGACGGACTAGCTGTGACACTCATGGGCCCATTTTTTTTACGCCCTGTATGATAAGAACTGTGGACAACGTTTTTTACATACCTCTAACTATTGACTAAAAATTAAGTACTCTTCATTCATGTCGCTAATCATAACCGTTTTCGGAAAAACGTCATTTTATTTATATCATGTATTTAGCGTATTTCGATAAAAGATACTTTTTTTTCGAGTTACCTTTGCAAACGTTGCTAGGTTAGAAATAAATAAACATCCTTCATTTTAGAACTTGTCAACTTTCACATTACTGATACATTGATTCCTTATTACTTTGATATTTGATTTTTGAATTTCGTTGTGAAATTAATTGTGAAATAATTCGAAATATGGAATACACGTTTATTGAGTATGCAGATGTATGGTCTTGCATCTTCCAATGCTTTGGAAGCCAGAAGGTTATATCACGACAGATTTCCTAATCGCACTCTTCCAGATCAGAAGACATTTCAACGAGTTGACCAACGTCTAAGGGAGAATGGTGGGCGATTCTTCTTAATAAGGTATAATAAGGTAATGTTATTTACTTCTTTCATAATTTTAGGAAATTTTGGAAAAAGAAGTTATAATACTGGTCAGGGAAGAACAGTACGTACGCCGCAATTAGAGGAAAATATTTTAAATGCTGTATATGATACTCCTTCAACGAGCACTCGAAAATTATCAGCGCAGTTTAATGCGTCGAAAACAATAGTACATGAAGTTCTTCAAGAACAACTGTTATACCCATATCATTTGCAAAAAGTGCATGAACTGATTCCTGAAGATTTTCCCCGTAGAATGCATTTTGCAAACTGGCTATTGGATCAGCAACGAAATAATGTAAACTTCATTAGCACTATTCTCTTCACGGATGAAGCAGGTTTTACCAAAAATGGTATCATGAATTTACATAACACCCATGTATGGGCTGATGAAAATCCTCATGCCACTATTGTTTCGCATCGCCAACATCAGTTCCAATCAATTAATGTCTGGGCAGGAATCGTTGGCAATTTTTTGATTGGACCATTCGTATTGCCGGCACGATTGAATGGAATACTTTATTTGGAGTTCCTTCAGAACGCTTTTAATGATTTAGTCGAGCACTTACCACTTGAAACCCGCCGAAACATGTACTTTATGCATGATGGGGCACCACCTCATTTCAGCGTTGCTGTGCGGGAGCACCTGAATAACGTCTATCCAAACCGTTGGATAGGTAGAGGAGGACCTATTGCCTGACCTCCTAGATCTCCCGACCTAACGCCATTAGATTTTTACCTGTGGGGACACCTCAAAACCTTGGTGTATTCCACTCCGGTCGATACTAGGGAGGAACTTCTACGGAGAATCACGTTTCATTGTGATGTGATAAGGAACAATGCTGGGTTATTGTGGCGGGTACAGCAGTCCTCAATTCGTCGTGCTCGCGAGTGTATCAGACTTCATGGAGCCCATGTTGAACCCTGTTACGAAGTTTTTAACTAAGCAGTTGAAGTTCAACTTTTTATTGAAACTATGTTGGTTACCGTGGAAAATTACGCTAAATACATGATATAAATAAAATGACGTTTTTCCGAAAACGGTTATGATTAGCGACATGAATGAAGAGTACTTAATTTTTAGTCAATAGTTAGAGGTATGTAAAAAACGTTGTCCAGAGTTCTTATCATACAGGGCGTAAAAAAAATGGGCCCATGAGTGTCACAGCTAGTCCGTCCCTGGAGCTGTGAGTAATTCGCAACACTTTCTTGGATAGTAATTTGAAGAGTCTTACCTAGTATACATCATATTGAAAAAAAATTGAAATATACCTGTTGGTTCAAGAATTATGTGTCAAAAACTTAATTCCATGGGAGCTCTTTGGGAGCCCATATCTCCGAAGAGGAGGCCGATACAAAAGAAGTTTATATGAACTTATAGTATTCTTTTCACGTGTTTTCTTCATATCCGGGAGATTTCCCACATGTTCCCGGACACCCTGTATAGTTACTTATTTGTATTTAACTTCCGCATAAAGTCTATAGCAAATTACTGAGCTCGAACATATACCTATACCACAAAATCATCGGGGATTTCCTCCATTATAGTTGTTGATGACGGTATATCGAACTAAAGTGATCAATTTTCAGGTACCCTTATCAACGACATTGGCAAAAGTCGATAGCTAAGCCCTACGGGGCCTCGGATGAACTTCAAGTACCTACATAAAGTTTCCCAGCTTCGTATACGGTGAGTGTTAATAACTTATACTTATATAAACATGTATATCAGATGCATGACTCAATAAAGTTGTGCCTTTACTTTGACTTGCACTGACGCATCAAAGGAAGTATGTATACCTATTGTTTTTCTTCGTATGAACGTTTTTTAAGTGAGTTTTCTGAACACAAAAATTTTACAACTATTTGAGAGGACTTGCTAGGACTGCTGGTTCATTTCAAACCCCAGTAAAATTAGGTTTTGACCCGGACATTGATAATTTCAGTTTGTTGAAATACTTTTCAGGAAGACCCTCATAAGAGTCCCACGATGTTCTGAGTGGAATAGCGATAATATTGAGGAGATTGAAACTTGATTAATGATGCTCAAAATTGACAGTTTCGATATGTCCCTACCGGTGAATCCAAGCTCCAAAATGCCATTCGTCAATTCCATAGAAAACTAAATCTTCTAAAAGTTTCATGCAGAACATTTATTCATACGACCAATATTAAAAGAACTGCAGCTCTTTGGAATGGGGCCGTTATCTTAAATACCATAATCGTTCGGGTGTGACAGTTTCAATGAATATTTTCTCATTCATCAAAAATCGAAAGCATAGTATCTTTCTTTTGTTATGAATTTGAGATCACTGATGACGATTTTATGTGCCCGCACCAGTTACGTAAATCCTCGGCCTTCTGGAATTGGAAATATTGGAGATAGAAAATGTAGATTGTATTCACATTATGTTGATATTGGTAATAGTAATGATAATTGCAGCTGTCAAAGGAATCGAAATCACTCTCTTCAGTGGTTCCTGCAACAATACCACGTGTTTCCAGGCCTTCATTTCTGGAGCCCTTACTTTGGCGCTTGTTTGGTCAGAGACTACTCTGGTACTTGTCAGAGGGGTCTCGGGCGCCAGATTGTTTATTAGGTTCACTCCACCTGTGTGCGCAAAGTAGTATTTCTCTGCACACATCTGCGTGCGCAAAGTCATCACACTTTCCCAGACGCCGTGCAGATAGGATTCTTATCCGCACTGGGTGCGGGAAGGTGAAAGTACTCAAAAATCTCACTAGTGTGGAAAGTTCAAATTCATTTTAGTTGCTGTAGACTATTTTATGCAATATGAGAAGCCGTTGCAAGTGTATTACTCTTCACCTTTCGACTATTTCCTGGTATTTGTATGTATTGCAGCTTAAAACAGACAAAACAAATTTTGTTCCTTGTATAACGATGAATAATATTGTCAAGTGTATACTTGTCAACTTTGACATGATGTCAGATTTTTTTATGGTTTCTGTTAGCAAGAATCTACAAACACTATCACTTTTCTATTCATCAAATCAAAGAAGGTTTGAGAGTGATCAAAATGAGCAGTTCTGACGACGAGCTATCAGATTCCATCCTATTAGAGGCAGCAAACTCTGCAAGTTTGAAGTTACTGCCCGCTAAATCTCAACTAAAATATAAGAAACGAAATATAATTTGAATATGGTGCCACAACAAAAAGACGAATATCGTATCAAGGAGATGTTTCCAGAGCCTATTTTGCAGATTCACAAAAAACATCAGCCAAAAAATGTAATAGAGTGAGTACCTACCTACTCTATGTTAAAAAGTGTTCTCAAATTAAAAATAAACTTGAATTCGAGTTCATATTTCAAGCTCACATCGTTCTTGAAGCAACAAAATGTGGGATACCGACAGAAAGAGGTCTGTCTCTTCTAAAAGTCGCACCATCTTTGGATTGGTCAGTGCTTCATTTATTATCGTTGTTATATAATGAAGCTGGTAGGAGAAATCTTGATCCTGACACGCGTGCGCAAAGTACCTTTTCCGCACGTAAAAACTTGACTTGAATATTTTCATCGATACAGTGTTGTTATTTCTATCAGAAACAACTAGCAACTTCGTTATTTTAAATAGAGCGCCCTGTATTTTATTGCATTTTTAGATTCTTCCTGAAGAGCTGATTTCATCGATGCATCACACTTGGGGTCTCGCAGGAATGATTACAGAGATATAATGTGTTCAAAATTATTATCGATCGAAACGGCTCACATGTATTCACTATCTACTGACATTAAATTGAAACAGATACAGGGTGATCAGAATTCTGAATCTTGAAGGTACCTGCATATTTTCCAATTGAATTCCAGTAGATATTGAATCAAAAGTAAGGATAGGGACATGTGAACCGTTTTGATCAATAATGGATAGTTTCGACACAAAAGAATCCTAAAATTGAAAAATCTCGATTTTGAACACCCTACATCTCTGTAATCATTCCTGCTAGACCCCAAATGTGATACATGTGTGATAAATCAGCTCTTCAGGAAGAATCTTGAAATGCAATGAAATACAGGGTGTTCCATTTGAAATAACAAAGTCGCTAGTTGTTTCTGATAGAAGTGGCAACACTGTTTCATGTTCAATTATCAAAGCATTCTAATTCTCAGAATGTTCTGTCTTTACGTTATCTCCAGATACTTCTAATAGGCCATCCACCGTGGATCACCCTGTATATTCCACAGAAGTATTATCAATACTTGTTCGTCGAGAAGTGAATAATGTGAGTCATGAATATAATACAGTTCTCAACACACCAAATGGACCACTCATAATTTGACTCTATTTCGAAGACCTGTATTTATTAAAAAAATTGACCGATCTTTATGCGGTTTTCGATATCAGATGTGATGTTTCATCGGCTTCAAAGAGAGCTAGAGCAATCTGAAAGAGTCCGCAAAACAAAACTCACACAGGGTGTAAAGTGGAACCATTACACTATGGTCTACATTTCCAATGCTGCCAGAACTCGAGAAATTTTTTTCTGATTGAAAGTCAGTCATATTATGATACACTGGGACCTCATCTCGGGACGTTTTCGTGATTTCTCCTTGATTGGCCATTGGAACAAAAATTCGATTTTTTTTCGAAAGTCTTGCATTTCTTGATTTGTTTCTCTAGAACTCCACTTGAGATGACTATTGGGAAGAACTGTTCTCATGTTTTATGGAGGATAATGAAAGACGAAAAAATCACTTTTTTGGATTATACAGGATGATAAAAAACTAGGACAAAATCTCATTTCACTGAAAATAATCAAAAATGGTGACTAAAACTATGGCCCATTCGATCCAGTATATTCAGAAACGGCCTTCTCGATATCCATTATTTATATTAGACCATTAACTCGAGACGTTTTCGAAAATTCGCCTCTAAATGAAATACAGGATGAAAATTTCCAATTCAAACTTGTTTCCTGATATTGATGGTTTCCAATATTTATTGCCCAAGTATGAGACACAGAGTATTGTTGTTCAATGTACTGAGTGTTCTACAACTTATCTGACAAATTTCAACCACAACTACGATATTACATAAGAAGTCTATCACAAAAAAAAATTATAGAAGTAAAACGAGATGAAAAATAAAATTTGTAACACTTTATATCCACTAAAACTATTCTCAAAGGGCTCTATTGGCGAAATATGACATTATTAGAATTCTTCAGCATTATGAAGATCCAACTAGAAAGTCGTATATCTTAAATTTCAGTACTTGGTAGGCCTCCCCGATTCAACAAAACCTCATGAAATCGGTTTGGCATAGATTTTATGAGGTTGTTGATGAAGTCTATTGATATTGCCGCCCATTCTGGATAAGGTTGTCATTATTTTGGGGTGCCTCGCCTTCTCGATAGGTCAAGTTTCATTCGGCTCCACACATGTTCAATCGAATTCAGATCTGGAGATAATGCTGGTCACCACATTCTTCTAACATTATTGTTTTCTAGAGTTCGTAATTTGTCAGATAAGTTGTGGAACACTCAATATATTGAACAACAATGCTCTGTGTCTCATACTTGGGCAATTAATATTGGAAATCCGTTGATAAAATGATGAGAATCATCGATATCAGGAAACAAGTTTGAATTGAAAATTTTCACCTTGTATTGTCCTATTTTCTTATCACCCTTTTCGAATAGTTTTAGTTGATATAAAGTGTTACAAATTTTATTTTCCATCGCGTTTCACTTCTATTGAATTTTTTTGTGATAGACTTCTCATGTAATATCGTAGTTGTAAAACACTCAGTATATGAACAACAATTCTCTGTTTCTCATACTTGAGCAATAAATATTGAAAATCATCGATATCAGGAAACAAGTTTGAATTGAAAAATTTCATCCTGTATTTCACTTAGAGGCGAATTTTCGAAAACATCTCGAGTTAGTAGTCTAATATAAATGATGGATATCGAGAAGGCCGTTTCTGAATATACTGGATCGAATGGGCCATAGTTTTAGTCACCATTTTTGATTTTTTTCACTGAAATGAGATTTTGTCCTAGTTTCTTATCATCCTGTATAATCCAAAAAAGTGCTTTTTTCGCCTTTCATTATCCTCCATAGAACATGAGAACAGTTCTTCCCAATAGTCAGCTCAAGTGGAGTTCTAGAGGAAAAAATCAAGAAATGCAAGACTTTCGAAAAAAAATCGAATTTTTGTTCCAATGGCCAATTAAGGAGAAATCACGAAAACGTCCCGAGATGAGGTCCCAGTGTATCATAATATGACTGACTTTCAATCAGAAAAATTTTTCTCGAGTTCTGGCAGCATTGGAAATGTAGACCATAGTGTAATGGTTCCACTTTACACCCTGTGTGAGTTTTGTTTTGCGGACTTTTTCAGATTGTTCTAGCTCTCTTTGAAGTCGATGAAACATTACATCTGATATCGAAAACCGCATGAAGATCGGTCAATTTTTTAAAAAAATACAGGTCTTCGAAATAGAGTCAAATTATGAGTGGTCCATTTGGTGTGTTGAGAACTGTATATGAATGAAATCCAGTTGATGAAACTGGATGGTACAAAGGAGTATAATCAAATTAATGTCCAATAGGACAAAACAAACAATACTTACCTGTAAATGAATGCTTTCCAAACAAACTCAATTTACAAAATGCCTACTTCTGATTATTCTTAGGAATTTCATTGTGATATTAGGTAGATATC